ATACTGCATGCGCTTCGAGGGCCCTCTGGATGCCAGGAAAGAACTTGCTTGTTACCAGGTTAATGGCCTTTGAAATCTTTTAAAATTGGATAGCAGTGTTTTGTTGGTATTTAGGGTTTTAGATTAATCGTGTGAAATTTCTATATTTTCATTGTTAGGGTTAACATCATTAGTTTTATTGATTTGAAGTCTCCTGCTGTAGTTGCAGCTTTGATTGTAAATAAGAGATTAAAGGGAAGAATAGGAAAGTAAATGAATATGCCAAAGCCCTTTATACTTTAATTCTTCTTCAGGGTATGATTAATACTAATATTTTTTACACACAAAAAATCTTGATGTCATTAGTGTTTAAGTTATGGGAATCCTTTTTTCAGGCACATTTATGGTATTGTCACATATTCAGGATTATAAAAATACATCTCATGGATGAATTCCTTTGACAGTGGACACGATGGCTCGGTAAGAACTTGGAAGGTGAGTCAGCGTTCTCATGCCTGCCAAGAACACACGTTGGTGTTCCAACAAGATGAGAATGACAGCAACTACTCAGTCAATCCTCCTGCCATAGAACATGTGGTGGCATTACCCACTGGACGACACATTGCTGCATCTTCTGAAAACGTTCTCAATATATGGCCGTTGAACAGTGAGTGTGAACTTCTTTTGTGCAGTGTTTGACTGGTAGGTTGGAAAAGGGCAGTGGCTGGGAATACTATTGATGATCTAGATATTGTTGATGTGTGAATATTTAATCATTTTATGAAATTATAATGAAGGATGTAGCATTAAACTTGGTGCATTGTAAGGCCATATTCCATTACAGGTAGCACTGTGGCAGCATGGACAAGTAGCAGCATCATAACAGCACTTGAGGCTCCTCTACATGGTGTGTGTGATCTCATAATCACTGGGCATCATGATGGCTCTGTTACACTAGCTGCCTTTACGGCGAGTGGCATTATTCCAAATCCTATTAGGCATGCTGGAAGGCAGGATGGTAAGGAAGAGTACTTTATTTGTTACATGATAAGTATTGTGATGCATAAGAGAACTTTTAAACCAGATTAGAGATTGAAAAAAGAAAGAAAGAAAGAAAAAAAGTGACAGTTTTTAAATGTAGAATGTGGCACTGATTTCTGTGATAAAGCATTATCAATTTAAGAATCTTTTTTTAATGATATCTGCAAATGTATGATGATTCCCATGTAATCAGAATATATTTTTTTCCTCTTGTACTTATTTCTGTTATCTTTCCACAGTGTATGTAAGTTGCCTGGCATGGCATGACCAAGACAAAGATCTGGCAGTGGGTTTCAGCGATGGTGTTGTCCGCGTTTGTTCAGTCCAGTCTGACGTGGGGAGTGTTACTGTTCAAGCCCAACAGGTTAGTATTTGATTAGATAAGCTCTTGGGAAGTTTCCTGAAATTCACTGTTTGTGAAATATGTATTAGAAATTTTAGGCAAGTTTACCCAGCTTATCCCCTTGTATTCGTAGGGTCCGGTTCAGTGCCTAGAATGGAGTAGCAACTGTTGCTTGCTGGCTTCATGTGGGGAAGGTGGCACCAAGGTTTGGACGCAGACGTCAAGTGGATGGACTCCCGTGTATTCCTTAGATTACAAATCTCTGCCGCTATGCATAAAATGGTCTCCAATTATAAGTGAGTTCATAGGCCTCGACTATATGGCATAGCTCTTCAGTTTTTATATATTTAATTGTGAGAAGAATTTAGAGGTACAGAATCCTCAGTCTTAAAGGTTATACAAACAAGATAGCATTAATTATTGATAATGATAATAATATATATTTGTTTTTTTTTCACAATTCAACATATTCCATGTTTGCAGGTGGAGTACTTGAAGGGGAATGTACCCACATGTTAGTTGTGGGGCATGAGGATGGTCTAGTCACAGTGTGGGTAGTGCCCCAGAGTCCTGCTTCCTCTGGGGATTCAGAATATAGGGGCAGGTAGGATGCTGTGATGTATATTTTTTCCCCAGTATATTACTTTTTTATAATGATTTCTTTTGTATGGTTATTGTTTCCAAATAGAAAAAGTAAATATTATGTCTATATGTCTTTTGTTTTTGTTTGGTGTACATATCCATGAATGATCTAGAACTCTGCTTTATAAGATGTTTAAAGTAATAATAAAGTGTTATCATAAATGAACAGAAAATTATGCTATGTGATTACAGTGCACAGCATGGGGAAGGTGCCGAGTCATGTGACCCAAGGTGCCAGCTGCAGCTTCGAGGCCACCAGAGCCCAGTCACTTCCTTGGCCATCTCAACCTCGGGTCTTATGCTGGCGACAGGTCTGGAATGTTTTTTTTGTTATTATTTAAATTTTTTATTATGTTAGTTAGGTAATTATAAGGATGCTACTGTAATAACAATGATGATGGCAAAGATATAAGTTGTGATATAAATTATAGAAAAAATAATGATAACAGTGTTGATAGGAAAAATAATGATAATTTTAATGATGATGCTCAGTGGTAATGCAGTGACACTGATAGATTGATGATAATGATTATGATAAAGCTATTTTCTAATCAAATTTTCCTTTCCAGGTTGCCAGAAGAGCATGAATGGAATGGTGAATGTCTGGTCTCTACAAGAAGGCTCGCTACTTCAGACTTTGGTTGGCTCGGGAGGAATTAATGCTTTGGTTTGGTGTGGAACGTCTGGCTTGGGTATCTGCGTGTCCCGCTCGCAGGTATGAGGTGTCTGCACTTCTGATGTTGTATAAATGACAAACCACTCGACTGTCTTGATAAAATGCCAGAAAAATCTTGTGCTGTCGCTTTGTTATGATTGAAGAATGTCTCAGCAATTTAGTGAGAGGAATGAAGGAATTAGGATCTAACAAGATGGCGCCTTACTTCCAGAACGTAGTGTTTACAGCGCTATCGGATGACCAGTTCTTCAAGCTTCGTATCCCGGCTTTCTGTCGCACACGCTTGCACACTTGGGGAATGACGGGGCTGCATCAGGCTCCCTGTCTGCGGGCGCTCCTGTCCCACCTTCCCTCTCTGCTGCTCTCTCAGTACCAGCATGAGAAGCCGATGGGTAAGTGGGCAGGGAGAGGAGAGGAAAGGGCGGAGGAAAAGCCTGGAGTGTTAAGGTTTTGTTTTGAATAATGCTGGTTAGTTTGGCTGACTGGCATGATTCTCCTTTTTATTGTCGTTCTTCTTCTTCATCTTCCTCTACTTATTATAATTATTATTATTACTACTATTCTTCTTCTTCTTCTTCTTCTTCTTCATTATTATTATTATTATTATTATTATTATTATTATTATTATTATTATTATTATTATTATTATTATTATTATTATTATTATTATTATTATCATTGTTATTATTGTTATCATTCTTCTTCTTCTTCTTCTTCTTCTTCTTCTTCTTCTTCTTCTTCTTCTTCTTATTATTATTATTATTATTATTATTATTATTATTATTATTATTATTATTGTTATCATTATTATTATTATTATTATTATTATTATTATTATTATTATTATTATTATTATTATTATTATTATTATTATTATTATTATTATTGTTATCATTATTATTATGATGATGATGATGATGATGATGATGATGATGATGATAATGATAATGATAATGATAATGATAATGATAATGATAATGATAATGATAATGATAATGATAATGGTAATGGTAATGGTAATGGTAATGGTAATGGTAATGGTAATGATGATGATGATGAATATTATTACTATTGTTATTATTATTATTATTATTATTATTATTATTATTATTACTACTACTACTACTACTACTATTGTTTCTATTTCTATATCTTATTACTATTACTGTTACTGCCACTGCTACTGTTACCAATACCATTTCCATTACTGTTATGGTTTCTGTTACTATTATTATTACTATTACCATTGCAATTACTATTACTATTACTGTTGCTGTTATTATTACTATTACTGTTACTATTACTATTTCTATTATTATTGATAAACATGACGCTGATTTTCAATTGATATTACTCTTTCAGTGAGCAGCGGAGAACAGCTAGTGCACAGCCGTTACCTTCAGCAGCTTTGTTCCTTGGCATTGTTACTCAGGTTGGACTGCGTCCTCTGCATGCAGCCGGCACCAGTTCACGTTACCAGACCAGAATCAGGTAGTGTACTATCCTTCTCTGAGTCAAATTCAAAGCTAGGATGAATTGAATGTCATTGTTTATATAGGGAAAGTATCTAGTCCTTAGGGTACATGTACCACATTGGTTACTCTAGTGTACACCAGTATAAACCATGAATAATGAAGAACAAATGATTTAGAATACATATCTGCTAAAAGGAGCTAAGAAGGCATGGTCTCCTTATTTACATGTTACAAAGTTATATTGGTTGCAGTTTGTCATTGCTATTATGAATATAAAATCCTTATATAGTCCCTCCACATAGATACTTCAGTTTGTGAAGATATTCTGAAACCTGTTAGGACTGAGGATTGAGGATGGGAACCCCTGGTCTGGAGAATAGGGATTAATATCTTTTTATCAAATGATTTATTTGAAAAGTTAACCCATTCATGCCGGGTGTCACGTATATGTGACGGGCCCACTGTGAGTTTACTTGTTTAATTGTTTTTACACATAGATGGCTGCATTTGTACTTGTACTGCCTGTCTCGCCTGCTTACCCTTTTCTTTAATTTACGAAAATATTATACGTTATCTTGTTTTGCTGTTACTAACATTATAATAATTATAATGTTTATAATAAAAATAACCATCGATATTCATAGTACTAGTAAAAATACATTTTCCCGCCAAATGAAATCAGGTAAGGCAGAGCCATCTAGTGTAGAGAAATTTCACAAAAAGTATAAAAATATTTGTTCATTTTTACCCGGTGTGAATGGGTTAAAATATGTATGTTATAGTAAGTAGATGTTAGAAGGAAAGGTAGTTTGCCTTGTGAATTATGTCAGTTTTTAAGAACACC